TATCCCTGGCTACCCCCCCCCCCGGTTGTGTAGCCCCATGAAGCCAAAAAAATCATTATAAAAACTATATAAAAAAAAAAAACTATTTCAGGCCTGCACAGACTTGAAATAACACCCCAAAATGTGGAGGTTCTACTTCTACCTTCTCAACAACAACCCTTTTTCAATGTAGCAATGTAAAATCCAAATTTCACTATTAGACTCGTTTTTGTTTTCAAGTACCCCTTCTCTGCATGGCAGTGGATACCAATTTGTTAAAATTTTGAGACCCTGAAAACCAGTTTTTTTATTCATTTCTTTCAAACTGGACACCATGCTTAATTTATAAATGGAGGCTCTTCTAACTTCACTCACAGAATAAATCAGGCAAAACTTACAGGGGAAGAAACCATATAAATGATTTACGTACCACAGGTGAGGATATTGTAAACCGCATGGTAGAGGAGTAGTAATCATAATTTGGTCCAGGTGAGATTTGAGAAACATATCTTGGAAGAGGTAGTAAACGTGAATTAAGTTCTTTCAGATGAAATGCTCCCTATCCAAAAGCACAAAATAGAAGAAAGAAGAAAACCAAGAATTAGCAGGGAATGCAACATAGAGTATTGAACATGTTGTAATGATGATAAAGCAAATAATATCTAAAAAAAACTGAAAACTGAAAGGAAATGGCACAAATGGTAATGACAATTTTAGTTTGAAACACAATTTACATAAGAATAAGAAAGGAAATAAGTATAATAAATTGCAACCAAACATTATTCCCTAAATGATAGTCATTCAGGAAAAGTTTTTTCTCAAACAAGTCAATGCATCTAACCTTTTTTCTTTTCTTCTGCTTCTTTCTTGGCTTCTAGCAGGCATCCTTTTTGGGTGGAGATCTAATACCAGGAGCTACCTCAAGCTAAAGACAAACTGGAAAGATTGACATTGTTGAGGATGTAAAGGTACTGTTCAAATAGTTTCAGCTTCATACACTTATTTGGTTTAGTACAAAAGTGTAATCCCCCATCAAGTCTAACAATTTCATAAGCTTGGTACAGTTTTTCCCTTGACATCATTTCTCAATTCAGTGATGTTATCTATAGCTATTGCATTTAGTCAGTTGAGTGGTTTTCTTTTTCTATATCAGAATAAATAGTTTGATAAGTGTTCAACAACTTTCTTTGATTGGAACTGTTTTAACTGTTTAACAATTTTCTTGCTCTGAGGTAGTAGACTTCTCAAAAATAATTGTCATTCTAGAAAGGAAACCTTCACAAATAATGGCTCAGGAAATTAGAAAACAAACTTAACTTTTTATATTCTAGGGAATGCTTATCAAGGAAGTCAGTCTCTTCAATTCATGAGTTAACATTTTTTCCTTTTTGTTGGGGATTCAGCAGATGTAAAGGTGGACATGTACAAAATACATATGAGCTATAAATAAAGCAGCTCCATCAAAACCAAAACAATGCTTGAGCATAGAGTTATGTTGGGATTCTTCCCAACACATACTCTTCTTCGAGGGAGAGTTCCTCCTACAGAAAGTTAAAGGCTTGAAAGAATAAGAACTGAGATTCTTGTCATTCCCAGTAATTCCTTACAATTCCTTTTATACTTTTTGGTTACACTAACAGGCCCACCATACTTGCACTCTCAAAATCCTACAGACCCATTTAAGGGTGGAAGGAGGGTGACAGCATGCCAGCTAACACACCAGGGCAGGATTGGAGGAGAACCAGAGAAGTTCTTTTCATGTCATCTGTCAATACTCCTTTGTTCATAACCAGCTTCCAAGATGTGAAAAGATATAAGAAATATTCATGCAAAGACTGAGAAGATGACTCTTTGAGTTAGAAGATTATTTAGTTTCTTTCTTCCCACAAACCACCCCTAGCCTCAAGTCCAACTCCCTGGTGGTTTGTGATTTGGCTAAGATTAAGAAGATGTGATTGTGGCACATGCAGGAACAACGAGGCAAGATTTTTATTTTCTTGTTTTGATCAGGCAGGTTTGGTGAATTAGCAAGAGATCATGTTTTCATCATTGTCCAATACCTCAGAATATATGCCCCCACTGGGGTATAAGAGGATTTGTGGTAGAGGCTGATCTCAGATAGTCATTGGTAAGATGAAAGAAGAATTGTTCAATTCTTGGAGCATTAGGCTATGTTTGGTTAAAATTCTGCTCCAAAGAATCAGTGTTTGAAGAAAGAGTTTGAGTTTTAAACCAAAAACAATTCTATCTTGAAGTTAAATTTGTTAGCTCAAAGAATCAATTCTTAGAATATTTTTTTAGCCTAAAAAAGGAATTAGTTCCAGCAATTTTCCTATATTTTTTTGGAAAAAGGTAAAGTAATTTATTCAGCACATAAAAAAGAGAGTTACATCAAGACCCAGACCACTAAGACTGCTTGGGCACAAATCAAATTACAAGCTCATCCATGACTGAGAGCAAAACATAAAAGACATATTCTGGTTTTTAAACTCCTCATTCACCGCCACCCAGGAAAATAGCTTGCCCACAGCTCTCTGCACTACTTCATCCCGGCTTCTAAATTTACCACAGAAGATTCTGTTATTTCTTTCAGTCCAAATGGACCATAACACAGCTGCCAGAATGGTACTCCAAACCAGCTTCCTTTCTTGCTGAGGCCCTCAATTCTCCAACACATCAGCAGCTCCTCCACTGATCTTGGCATAGTCCAGCTAATCTCCAAAGCCTTAGGGAAATGCCCCCAGACCATAGAAGAGACTGGACAGTGGATACACAAATGCTCTGTAGTTTCTGCAAGAGTTCCACACAAACCACAAGAAAGATCCAGAACCTGAATACCACGTCTCTCCAGGTTAACTTTGGTCAGACATTGATCTTGGAGGGACTAGTTGGATTCCAAATCTGACTGGCAGGGAAGTCCACTTGACCTGATCTGTACAGCTTAAGAAACAGGGATTTAACAGAGAAGCAACCGTTTGCATTCCATTTCCAAACCCATTCATCCTCTAAACTCAAATCTATCATCTGATTTTGAAGCAGACCCAACAGCGCCACATACTCTTCCACCTCCCAATCAAACAAACTTCTCCTACAAAGAAGAGTCCAAATAGTGGAGTCACCAGAAATATTAAAGTTTTCAGCTACTGAAGAATCTTGGTTCACAGAGATTTGGAATAGAAGGGGAAAGGCATCTGCCAAGGAACCCTCTGAACACCAGGGATCCTTTCAAAACTTGATTCTATCCCCTTTACCTACCTTAAATCTGATCCCATCCAGGAAGGAAGGAGGGTTCTTCGAAATACCTGCCCAGAGAGATCTACCCCAACTTGGATGAGGTTCCTTAGATCTCCAATCATTCCACCCCATACTTTGCCGCAATAAGGATTCTCCACCATGCATTCCTTTCGGAAGCAAATGTCCATAACCATTTACTAAGTAAGGGCAGAATAAAATTTCTTCAGATTTCTTATTCCCAGCCCACCAACTTCCTTAGGGATACACACTTGCTCCCACTTTAAAATGTGAATCTTCTTTTCATCTTCCCAACCCCTCCATAGAAATTCCTTTGGATTTGCTCCAGCCAATTTGCTATTTTGTTTGGGATGGGAAAAAGAGAAAGGAAATAAGTAGGGAGGTTAGAAAGAGTACCCTTAATCAATTAACTCTACCTCCGAATGACAGATATTTTGCTTCCAAGAGGCCAATTTCTTCTCCATTCTCTCAATAATTGAACACTGGGTCGAGGAGGAAGAGTATTTAGCCCCAAGAGGCAGTCCCAAATACTTTATCGGGAGGAAACCAGTTTGACAAGCCATCACTTTTGCACATTCTTCTAAATTTGAAACATGGCCCACTAGGATGATTTGACTTTTACTCGGATTAGCTTTGAGACCAGACACCAGTTCCAACCAGCTCAGAATCCCAAGCACTGATTCCAACCGAGTCAGAGAAGCATCAACAAAACATAAGGTATCATCTGCAAATTGGAGGATATTGACTTTTTCCTTTCCAGGGGAGATTGCAAATCCATCCCAAAAACCAGATTTTGCAGCCTTCTTGCTAAAAAGTGTGAGAATTTCCGTAACACAGATGAATAGAAAAGGGGACAGAGGATCCCCCTGCCTGAAACCCCTAGAGCTACCAAAAAACCCCGTAGGTTGACCATTAATTTAGGATTGAAAATTTTGGGGTCTTAATATAAACTCTGGTCCAATTTCTCCATTTCTGCCCAAAACTCATTCTTTCCAACACACGATCCAGACAATTCCAGTTGGCATAGTCATATGCTTTCCCAATATCAAGTTTACAAATCACACTCGGGGTTCCCTCTCTTCTTCTGAAATCAATTAGCTCATTGGCAATGAGAATTGAGTCTACCATCTGCCTCCCTGGAACAAATGCACTTTGGTTATTGGAAATTACACTGCCTAACACCCCCTTCATTCTTTCTGCCAGAACTTTAGCCAGGATTTTATAGAAACTGTGCAGGAGGCTGATCACAAAATCCCAACATTTCAGATAGAATAGGTTTGTGAGACCATCTGGCCTAGGCGATTTGTCTCCTTCTAACTTCTTAATTGCTGCACTAATTTCCTCTTCTGTAAAAGGTCTCTCAAGCCAAAATTTCTGTTCTTCATTCAACTGCCTGAAGGGAAGATTAGTAGGAAAGGGTCTACACATCCAATTTTCCTTATAGAGCTTTTTATAAAAGGAAGTTGATACTGGGTTAATCTCTTTACATGATTCCCCACTCCTATCTTCCCACACCAACTTGTTAATAGAGGAAGCTCTAGCTCAAGCATTTGCCATTTTGTGAAAGAAGTGTGTGTTTTTGTCACCCTCCTTTAACCAAATGATTTTAGCTCTTTGTCTCTGTTGAGCAGAAGAAGAAGAAAGGAAGGAAGGAAGAAGAAGAAGAAGAGAGATGAGGTTGCAGACTTACGGCCTCAAAAGGACCCCTTCATGCAAGTGAAGCATTTGTATTTATACTATACTGGCCGTACAACACAAGAGGACTACAAAATTACAAAAATACCCCTACAGGCACTAAACCTGCGTACAGTACATATAATACACCTGTCAACACTCCCCCTCAAAAGGGCCCCTTCAATGTGCTTTGTTCTATCATGTAGTACTGGGTTGGCAGCGATACTTATAGCTGCCTTGTTGTCACAGAGTAGAGTCATGGGTTTGTC